GCTTTGCCTCACTTCAGCATAAAGACCTTCTTGTGATTGGTGGCACTTTCAAGAAAGATTTTTTTTCTATTGGAAGAGTTCAGACTACAAATGCTTACACTTGCCCCCAAGCAAGACAAATGTATCCACTGACTTACTGGAAATGTTCCCTTTACTCTTTGTAAATGCATGTAAAATGCTGAAGTTGTGAACTTTTCTTGAACTCTCCCTTTCCTTTTTAGCCTGCAGAGCTTTGACACTATGGAACATGCACAGGGAAGAAGGTATAATGTTTGGTAAATGTGAAAGAATGAGATGTGAGCAGGTGAAGAAAGCCTTACGAGCCAAGTTTTAAAAAGCAAAGGCTGCCTAACATAGGAAAATATCAAAACAACAAGATACTATTCTCAGACCTGAAACTGCTTATCTCTAGAGTACGAGCCAAAGACTCGTAAAGAGTAATCATTCCATTGACTATAACATGCTTAAGCCCCAAGTAGGTCGAGTGGTGTCGTTAAAAGAATCAAAACAACCTCCTTTTGTAATTGTATTATCTGAAGGTAAGAGCTGAATTGATCCAAAGTTCCTCAGAATCGGTATGATTTATTGGGAACATGATGCAAGGCTTGAGCGTGCAACTACTTTTCTAAAGTACACACCTAAAAATTATTCTGCATGCCTAACTGGGCAGCAATAAGGTTCATAAACTACACAGCGATGATCAGAAACTGGTTTAAACTTGCAACAGAACAGAAGTTCAGTGCACATAAACCAGTTTCAAAATGGCCAAAAATAGTTAAAATAAACCCGGTTGAACCTACTTAGACTTAACTGATTTAGGTCAAACCAATTTATGGAACTTTTGTCCCATACCCCTTCCTGGTTCAAGTTAAATCCTCCCTGGTTAGCAAGGAGGAGCTGGCCACATCCATTGCCCCCACATGTTGCTTGCTGGACAGCCTCAACCCCCAGCGCTACTACCTGCCATCCCCCAGATTACCAGGCACTAAGCTGGGCATCCCCTGCTCACTCTTCCCCTACCTGATGGCAACACAGTATGGCCCAGTGTACCAGGCACCAATCCAGCAAGTACCACGCAACAGCAGCAGGCACAGCCTGCTCCTCCTCGTCACCCAGGGAGCCCTTGCACTTGTCTGCCTTCGAGCCCATGAAGGGGCTCAGCATCACACTATCCAGCTTCGTGGTGCCTGTCCAGCTGCAGCGATGCCTCAGCGCTCTGCTTTGTGCATGTCCCCACCTGGGCTTGGAACTGGTTTTGCTCCCCTCCCCCCATCCCCCAACTGGCCTATGCTCCTGGGCTGTCCCAAGTGAAACCCATGCCCCAGGCTGAGAAGACACAGCAGGGTCACCCCCTGGCTGAGAGGGGGGCTCTAGGGCCATGCTGAGCTGTGAGCAGGGGCGAAAAGTCTGGCTGGGGTCCCGTGCCGGTGGGAGAGGGGAAGCAGGGGTGCTTAATCCCCCTCCCCACCTTCACCAGAGGCACTGTCCAGGCCACCGGCTGGCCATGTCCCCTGCAGCTCCAGCAACCAGTAGGGAGAAAAGCCAGCGGTGCCAGTGGGAGACAGAGAGAGAGAGAGAGAGAGAGAGAGAGAAAAAAAAAAGAGGCAGGGGGAGTTAACCGCCTCCCTCCCTTTTCTGAGGTATTGCCTGGGCTGCCAGCTGGCCACACTCCTACTGCTGGAGGACAAGCCTAATAAGGGCTGCTTCCCCTCCAGGAACACCCCAGCTGGGGTCCCTGCAGTCCAGGGTGGGGGTTTAAACCCCTCCCCAATGATGGCAGCAGAGCCATCCCTAGGGGTGTGCAGGGCCTGGGGCATATCAGCCTGTGCGGGGCCCTGGGGGGGTGGGGGGTGGTGAGCAGCTACAGCCAGCAGCACTCAGCAGCAGCAGCAGCGCCAGTGGAGCTTGGAGCAGCAGTACGTGGTGGCCACAGTGGGGTCTATATGGCACTGACCATGGGGCCTCCCCAAAGCACAGGGCCTAGGGTGGTTGCCCCGATTCACCTTCTCCTTGGGATGGACCTGCTGCAGGGCCTGGCCATGTCCCCTCCACCCCCCAGCTCAGCTTCAGGCTTTCCGGCCACTACGGAAGGGAAGGGAGGGGCTCACTCTAGCACCCCCCAGCTTCTAGCCTGAGCCACTGCAGGCATATGGCTACATTCCCAGAATCAAAAGTGGATGTCTATTCACTTGCTTGTCAGTTCAGTCTATGCAGGTTAGACTAACATGCAAAGACTGAAGCAATTCAGGCTTGGAATTTTGTAAGTCTGTACCTAGCCATAAAGCCCAAAATTGTACTGACTCTTTAAATGTACACTCATACAGAAAGGGTCAAGCTGCAAGTGTTCAAAATAACAGAAAAAAAAAATAAACCAGAGACTATCAAGCAATGACATTTCTTTTCCAGTTAGTAAGTCTACTGTTCCCTACAAGCAGTTCTGTATTTTATACAGAAGGTGTGTGGAGTAGTGGTTGATACAATGAAGAGTTTGGCTAATCTGTACTAAAACAAGGATTTCTTTAGGGTTTCAAATGAAAAGCACTAAAACTGTAGTCACAAGAAATAACAATAATACAAGGCTTCTGAATGCAGCCTAGCTTAAGGCAACCACCAGATCTGACTTTCTGCCCAATAGCACTGGCTTAAGTCAGCAATAAGCACTGTGAATGCTTGGTAAAATAGAAAGCCATCTACCTGTTACTCAAATCCTGAATGAAGACATGGCTAGACATGTAGTATGTTTATAGCAAATAAGAAATAACAAGTGAGTACAAAGACTGAGGTAATTTTCATCGGCGACTCAAAGAGAGACAAATTCATATCAGCATGTTGAAGGGGTTGGGCTCATCGTAACAACACTTATAAACTCAATGCAGGGTGAGAAACAGTGCATTTTTTCAGGATGCTGGCAGACTTATCACAGCCTATAGCTGATTAAGTTACCTCCTCATCCTAGGAGATGATTTTAGCTGCACTCGCCAGGAGAGTTTGGACCAGAATGGACCAGAGCCCCATTCATCCTCTGCTCGACTGATACAGATGACAATTCAGGCAGCAAGCCTATTCAACGCACTTCTATCTTAGCACAAGGCAGTATACTTGGGTGAAAATGAGCGCCAATGCGTTCTCCATGGGTCACCTGGACTCTACATCACCAAAAACAACCTGTTCCTGCTTCACTGCATTCATACTGCTCCATCAGGATTCAGACCACAGCCTGTTCTAGTATGAAATTTGGCTTTCCTTATTTTACTTGCAGCCCAGCCAGCACTTGAGCCTCCTGCAGGATGCCCACTTTTGGGATTACTGCACATACTTCTGGCAGACCTGGACAGCCTCAAGAAGCTACTTCCTCTCCTGGAAACAGCGGTGGGAAATGGGAAAACAACATAGGGAAGTTGCCAGCCCTCGACGGTTTCCCTAGTAAAATTTTACAAGACCTTCAGGCCCCATCTAAGCCCAGACCTCCCATGCCTCTTCAAGGAGAGCCTCAAAGACAGGATCCTATCAGTTAGGTACCCAAGAAAGGGGATTAGTGTCAGTAAGAACAGGTAACTGGTATCATTCCTGTGCATTTAACTTCTGCTTTTTGATCTGGGTGGGCACCACATTTGACTTTGGATACATCACCTTGAAACAAAATGTGGACAAGCTTGTGTTACACCAGGCCATCAAGAGGGCACTCTCCAAGGTGGAAGACAGGCAGCTAGTCCTAAATGTGTAACTTTATGAAGGTCACTGGTAGAAGGAGGTTTCCACCTCGGGGATATGAGTGTTTTCATTACTGACAGTGTTTCATGCTCACCCCAGAGAAGGGTCACACACTTTTACACTTTCACCTTTTGTTTTTAATCTTTTTATCATAAAGATTTGAAAAAGTCTCTCATACACACACACTTCTATAGGCCAAAGGGTAAAGCAGCAGCTTCTGATCACTACCCATCTCTAGCACAGTCAGTGTTATTTTCATTGTTCCCAACACACACTCTCTCTCTCTCTCTCTCTCTATTGGCTGAATGCTAATATCAAACATCTGACCTCTAGTAAGCAGAAGAATGAACAGCTCTCTTGAAAAGCAATGACACTTTATGGAACAATTGAAAGGGTGGGAGACAGAATCCTAGTGCATTCTCAGACAGCAATACAATCCTTTGCAGCTGCACTACAAAGAAACATTGCTATAAGCTTTGACTTCCCACCTTTCATTTTACTGAAATGAAGACATAGAATTATACCAAAAGAAAGTCAGCCTGTTTCTAGCAGCCTCCAAATATCCAGCCCCCCTTCTCCCCTCAAAATATAAAAAATGGTTAGCATGTACCCGAGAGCCTCCTTTCATGAACACCTCTTGTTTGATCCCTTGCAAGTCAGGGGTAACACAGTTCCCCTGCTAGTACCGACCCATACCTCAAAAGGCATCTGCAATGTTCATGCCAGTGAATCATAATTTCATGAAAACTGGTGCTTAGCGTGCTTAATTTTTTGTGTATTTTCCCCAAACACAGAAAATATAAAAGGATTTAAGGTAATAAGTAATCTGGCATGTGAGAGGAAGACGACAGACAAAAGCTGCATTAGTATGTTCACTGTCTAAAGCATCACCACTTGATAGATCTACACAAGTTTCTGCCAACTTCTAAAGCCCATTGTCAAGAATATAGCACAAATCATGCCTTTCTAGCAATTTTTCAATCTCGCCTACTTGGTTCCAATTTGACAAAGTCAAAATTCTGCACAACACAGCATTGTACACAACAGCAAAATAAATTTACACAACCACATTTTGCTAAACACGTTAGAACAGCTCCACCATAGATATGCATTTAAATTATATTTTAATTAATTTTAATACACTGTCAAAGTTGCAATGAGAACAGTATCTTTGCAAGTCAAACAAGCACCATAAGAGTCACAAAGACAAAACACCATCAAAGCCTCACTTTTATAAAGAAAATCAGAAGGCAATTTTTTAGGTGATTACCTTCAAACTACCATCTTACCTCTTGGGATAAGAAGGGAATGACTTGTGCACATATAGCATTCAGTCTCTTGACAATTTCTGCCTGTATATAAAAAGAAAAAGAAAAGTTAGTTTGATTATATATATTTTTCAAGTTTCAGTGTTATTGCATGAATGTTAGAAAAAGAAAGTGTGTTTGTGCACATCTACACACACAAACTGTATGGTCTGTAATCATCCAACTGGAATTGTTTATAAGAATAAAAACTTGTTCAGTGACCTCCTTCAACAATAGCTACTGTTAGTCATACATAACTCTCAAAAAAAAAAAAAAATGAGCTTTCTAGTTTTATGAAATCAGAGGGCTTAAAAAATGTCTTCAAAAGGAGCAGCATAAACAAACACATCTTTACCAGGATAAAGAAAATATTTTTCTCCAACATAGAGAAAAAGGATCATCTCAAATGACATCGTCATCCAACAGTTGGAGATTTTTAATTAATTAATTTATTTAATATATATATATTCTTTGTTCTATATTGAAATACTGTATTTTGGGAGTTAACCTCACTGAACAATGCATTAAAATATTTAGTTCTGATACCACTTTTCCTTGCATCACACCAAAGTTAACTGCATTGAAGTCAACTGACTTCAGTGAAATTACGCTGATTTAGAGCGGTGTAACTGGAATCAGAATCTGATCGTATATGATACTATATTTCCATACAGCTGGATTATTTGTTTATATCTAATCTAGCTATCATTAAGATTTTATATAAAATCTTTCATTAAGATATGCAGGTTGTACGTGTACATACACACACACGTGCAACCTGCATATCTTAATGAAAGATTTTGGAAGACAGCACAAGAGGTAAAACTGCAGGGACCAAAAATGTAAAGCTATAGGGACTTTCTTTAAATAAATACTACCTAGGGTCAGTTCCTCATTTTATGGAAGGACACAATGCTCTTTTTCTTGCAGTGTCATTGCCAGAATGATAGAGACACTGATACTTGCATAACTTAAGTTTCCTTCTTTTGTCAACATCCATTTCAACATTTGCCATGCACTATTTAAATGACCAACTTCAAATAAATAAGTAAATACATAAATTAAAAAAATAAAAGAAAATAAAAAAAGAAAAAACCATACATGGAATTGCTAGTAATGCTTAACATCCCAAACAAACACAAAAATCTATGAACAGTACATCATAGTTATACAGCTACATAGTCTGAAGCCATGATATGCTAGAGCATATCCATGTATAACTAACTCTGCCCCCTTGTGCGTGTTATGATACAGTCTAGTCATTCCATTTTCTTCCCCCTCAGATGATACAAAATACTGTTCTTCAATATCCGCTGGAACATGTGCATGTATGTATGTATGTATGTATGTATGCATGCATGCAAGAATCCACAATTAGTAAAAAAAAAATAGTATGCATGTCTGTATGTACACACACAAGCAGTTTTTAATATGCTAATTTAGTGTTCACTGTTCTGATATATTTTTTATCGACCTTCAACATTTATCTAATCAAGCATTTTCTGCTTATCCAGAAGCATACCGTCCCGCAGTCTGGGAGCTGACAGTTAACTATAGAGCTACTTTACCTACGAAGTTGAGTAGTCAACATATTCTGCAATTTTTCAGATACTCTATGCTGAATAAATATAATCTTGATACAAACAATTTCTTAATTGTTTGGCATATATAGAATAGTGTAAAGAACAGAAGATATCTGTCTAAGATTGACAAAGACAGCCTTTGTAAGCTAATATTATAGTGTGAGAAAAAGAGTCAAATTTGGAATTAAAGCCTAATATTTAGTTACAAACTGAATGAAGTTGTGGACTATTTATATAGTCTCATATGTGTTTTTAAATGCAAAAAAGAATCTATTTGCTCAAAATCCGAAGACTCTTCTGCCTGGGTGGACCTCTGCCTCTTGGAGGAGCACTGCCAATTTCAGACAGGTTCTACTGAAACCCCTGCAGACTCCAGGCCTTGTTGTGTACTACTTCAAAAGTTCTTTCAACATGTACGATTTTGGCAATGGTAGATGTTAATGCAATGAACTGGAACCATGTTGCTAGCTAACTGGACAGTTTGTACAGCTCTACGACGTCTACAGAAGAAAAGCACATTACAACTTCCTCAGCTACGAAAGTGCCTTTCTCTGCACCTTAAAAGCATTCAGCAGCTTTACCCAACTCTTCTATAATTTATGAGGTCAGTATGTACCAAGGCCAAGAGGCCTTGTGTGCCTTTACTTCAGCCCCTGAACATTGCAGGCTACTTTTCAACCCAGGCCCAAATCAGCCAGATAAGGAAGAATATTCAGGAAATGCTTAACTGCAGATGTGAGGAGCTGAGAATACAACTTGCACCAAACGCAGTGCAAAGGCTCAATATGTAATTTTAAAAGGCTCATAGATTCATAGATTTTTAGGCCAGAAGGGACTATTATGCTCATCTAGTTTGACCTCCTGTATAACACAAGCCATAGAATCTTACCAAGTCATTTCTAAATCAAGTCCGTAATTTCAAGTTGAGCTAAAACATAACTTAGTCACATAAAAAAACAATTGTATCACGATTACTTAAAGGCACTCTCCTCAGTTATATCTGTGCTAAATTTCAACATTCAATCTCAGCTGTTTCAGCTGTTATTTAAAAAGCTGCAAAAATTATCTCCCCACCTCCTACCCTGCACTCTGCACTCTCCTTGTGGTCAAAAATAATTGAAATGTCAGGCTGAGAAATGTCAGCCTGAAAAATAAAAGTTTCAGAAAGTTATGAGCAATTGAAAACAGGAGGTCAGAATGCAAATTGTTAGGTAACTTAAAAAGTAGCTTTCAATGCCACTTCCACAATAATACAATGCACTTTCTTGCTGCTACATCTGAAAATCATATTTCCTTGACTTGTAGAGGCCTTGCTCCTAGAAGAGAAGAAAGATATCCACAGATGGCTTCAAAAGATGATGGTACTTCTCAGAGGTAATTGTCAACTATAGGAACAGGTCGACAAAAGACTGCAGAAGAGAATGAAAGAAAAAGCCCTCACTAGAGATTCAAGTGTTTAGAGCCACATGCTAGTCGAGATCCTGTTTTTTAATTTTAAAATATGTATTTTTAGTTTTAATTTTACTCAAACCCATTGTTGATATGTGTGATGTATAAGTCCTTTAGGTCTTGTCACACCAAAAGCACTAGCCTTCCCTTAAAGGAATAGCTACCTTGAAGACGACTGCAGGTTTCGACTGGAAGAACATAACCAGTAACTGGCACTACAATAGCTTTTGTAGACACTAATGTATGAACAGGGGCAAGAAAGGATCCTTCGTTAAAGAACAAACCAAAAATACTGGTACTTTGGCATTCTTATACTCACTAGGCAGATTAGTAGATTGTTTCTTGTATCAGTTGTATTGTTTTAAACTTCATGCTGAAGCCAAAAAAAAAAAAAAAAAAGGAGACTTGGAGAATAAGAGTGCTCTGCAAACACAAAGTCTTGATCATGGAGTTACAGCATGGCCAGGGCAAGGTCTGCATATCACTGAAGACTATGTACAACCCAACTGGCAGACATGGAAACAAAGCATCATGGGGAGCAATGCCAGCCAAGACATTAAATATATTATCTACTGATATTTTATGTACATTTTCTTTCAAAGAGACCTAAAACAACATCGAACCTCCTCTTTTCCATGAATCAACCTGCTCGCTTTGGCATAGCCCTGCAGTAATCTCAGTGCTCAGCAAGTCTTAAAAAATTATGCAAATTGGTAATTACTATTGCCTAGATATGCTTTAGTCTTTAAAACACCATCATGTCCTGCCTTTTGCCTGACATCAGGCTAGTGCGGTTAGCCATCTTTCTCTAGATATGCTTTGGAAGCCATAGTCAAGTTATTGATCTAGCATAAGCAAAGTTACAGTAAGTAAGAATGGTTTCCAGTGTGAAAGAGGACAGAAAAGTCGAGAGAGAAAATGAACGTGGCCCTGGAAACAAGGGTTGAGTGGCCTAGTGAATTTGCTATTGTTACTCAAGCCAGGATAGACATTTCTGCATTCAAGTGTGCCTGTGCATGTTTGAGTTAATTTGTCACATCAATATTTTCAAATACAAAGATTTATTTCCTTGATCTGATAAAAGGCCAATCTCAATTTAAAACAATTATGAAAGATGGACAGTGGGATACGTGCTGATATTTAGGAGAGTTAAGGGGAGGTTAGATTGGGTTCAAAAAGGCTGTGATCCAAGGTAAATCAGGATGGGGGAGAAAATGGGAGTGTAAGCAGGTTTAGGGGCATATAGGGTGTCTGTGAGAGTGATCAATGGGATTGGGGATACAAGTGGGACCTGCAGGGATCTGGGAGGGTTTGGTTTGATCAGGGGGCTTGCAGGATCTGCAAGGGAGTACAAGGGGGACCAGGGGATATTTTTAGTCCCCCAACCTCCCCCACCCAGCAAACATATATCCCCCATCCCTCCTGCCCTTCCCCCCACTGACACTTACTTGCTCAGCTCTGTCAGCAATGAATGCTGATAAAATTGGTGGCACCTGAGCAACGTGCAAGATGAAATGGTTGGGGGTGGCTGGTTGGTTTGTGGGCGGGGGGAAGGCACCAAAAATAGTCCAGTGCCAGGGGGTTGAGTGAAAAGCAGCCCTGGTGGCCAGTAGCTGGGCGTTCCTAACCCCAGGACTACACAGCTAACTGTACAGAAGTTACATGTCCTGGTCTAACCTAGATTAAGCAAGTCTGATGCCACATCAATCCATGTCTAATCTCAGACTGGGTTCCACAATTTTTAGACTAGTCTGTCTGAAGAACTTCTGTAGTTATGGGTTTATGCTGATTTCTGATCACCGAGACCAGGTCTGAGTGTAAGATTCGTACCCTGAGCAAACGAAGTTACATTGGGTGGCCATCTGGAACCTAACCTAACCTCCCCCTAACCCTCCCAGAAGGGACAGAAGGGAATTGGTGAGGTTTTATTCACCAAGGCGCCCCCAGGGGTTACAAGAAATAATGGCCACAAGCTAGCAGAAAGCAGATTTAGACTGGGCATTAGGAAGAACT